ATGACTCATCTGTTCCCCAAATGGATGCCATCTGCACCCTTCCTTGTTCTGCATGCCCATGCATTCAACCACCAGTTGCAACTCACCTACAAACCACTCACACCCTAGAATGTTGCTTCCAACTTGACCAGCAACCAGGGAGCACCACTGACCCAGGCAAAACAGAAAACTTCTCTGCCATCCAGTGGGCTACAGTTACCTTTTCTTCATAAAGTCTGAGGTTTGCTGAAGTTTGTCTTTCCTTCGATACCCTCAGTATTGTACCACATAAAGTTTAAAAATATTGTATAGTTACTTTTTTAAAAGTTTAATCATTTGTAAATTAAATTTCCATTTAAATCACTGTGTGGTTTCTGTCTCCTTATTGGACCCAGACTGATCAGGTGACAACTGTAATTTGTTTCAATGGGAGTTTTAAGGCCAAAGAGTACAGTGAGTTTTGGGTAATTCAACAGTGGTGAGGGAGAAAATATGAAATATACTCTTTGTCAGCCTTGATAGTTGCAAACATAAAGGGTTTGGAAGACTGGCCTTAACATCTATTGGCAAACTGGGAGACATGATATCTGCCGCCTCCAAAAGTTTCCTTCTCTCTTTTTTATTTTATTATGATTTGTGTGTGTGTGTGTGTGTGTGTGTGTGTGTTCACGTGTGTGTGCGTGTGGTATCATGAGATCTACCCTCTTAGCAAACTTTTAGGTATATAATACACTACTGCTGATTTTAGGCACTATGCTGTACAGCAGATCTCTAGGACTAATTTACCTTGCATAAATGAAACCGTAGCCCCATTGAACAACTCTCCATTTACCCCTTCCCCTGGCCCCTGGTAATCACCATTCTAATCTCTGCTTCTGTGAATTTGACTAGTTAAGAACCTCATTTAAGTAGAATCATGCCACTTCTGACCTGTGACTCGCTTATTTCACTAAGCATAAAGTCCTGAGCATGCTAAAGAATGAAATTAGATGCTGTCTTACACCATTCACAAAAATAAATACAAATGGATTCAAGACTTAAATATAAAACCTGAAACCATAAAACTCCTAGAAGAAAACATAAGGGAAAAACTTCTTTACGTTGGTCTTGGCCGTGATTTCTTGGATATGACACCAAAAGCACAATTAACAAAAGTGAAAGTAGACAAGTGGGACTACATCAAACTAAAAACCTTCTGCATAGCAAAGGAAACAATCAAAAGAATGAAAAGGCAATCTATGGAATGGGAGAAAGTACATGCAAAGCACATATCTGATAAGGGGTTAACGTATAAAATATAAAATGAACTCCTACAATTCAATAGCAAAAACAAACATAACCGGATTTTAAAATGGATATAAGACTTGAATAGACCCTTCTCAAAGAAGATGTACAAGTGTCCAAAAGGTATATGAAAATATGCTCAACATCACTAATCAGTGAAATGCAAATCAAAACCATAATAAGATATCAACTCACACCAATAGGATGGCTATTATTAAAAAAAAAAAATAGATAACAAGTGTTGAACATTTGGAGAAATTGAACTCTTCTGCACTGTTTGTGGGAATTAAAATGGTGCAGCCTCTATGGAAAATAGCAGTGGAAATTCCCCCCTCCCCAAAATTAAAAATGTAACTACAATATGATCCCATTTATGGATATATACCACCAAACAATTGAAAACAGGATGAGATATCTGCAGTCCCATGTTTATTGCAGCACTATTCCCAAGAGCCAAGTTAAGAAACAACTCAAATGTCTGTCAACAGATACATGGATAAAGAAATTATGGCATATACATACACTGGAATATTATTCAGCCTTGAAAAGAAGATCTTGGGGCGCCTGGGTGGCGCAGTCGGTGAAGCGTCCGACTTCAGCCAGGTCACGATCTCGCGGTCCGGGAGTTCGAGCCCCGCGTCGGGCTCTGGGCTGATGGCTCGGAGCCTGGGGCCTGTTTCCGATTCTGTGTCTCCCTCTCTCTCTGCCCCTCCCCCGTTCATGCTCTGTCTCTCTCTGTCCCAAAAATAAATAAACGTTGAAAAAAAAAATTAAAAAAAAAAAAAAAAAGAAAAGAAAAGAAGAAGATCCTGCCATTTTTACATTTAACTTTGTAAATAAAATTCTGAAAGAGAGTGACATCAGCAACATGGTAGAACAGGAGTTTTCTACATTCATTCCCCCCATAGAACATTGATTTTGACAACCACCCATGAACAAGAGTACCCTTCTGGAAGTCCAGGAGTCCAGCAAAGTTCCAGCACAACTTTGGGGCAAAAAATAGATACATTGAAGAGGGTAAGAACAGTTTCACTTTACCCACAACACTCCTCCCCCAGGGTCATCAGGCTCTGTGCTGACAGCTCAGAACCTGGAGCCTGCTTTGGATTCTGAGTCTCTCTCTCTCTCTCTCTGACCTCCCCCGTTCATGTTCTGTCTCTCTCTGTCTCAAAAATAAATCAACATTAAAAAAGAAATCACAAAAGATTTGAACACAGTCTGGAGCTCAAGAATACAATGGATGAGATGGGGAAAAACACAATAGAGAACATCAAATGGACTTGATCCAGCAGAGCAAAGAACCTGTGAACTTGAAGACTAGTCATTTGAAATTATCCAGCCTGAGGCGAAATAGATCATATGCTCTCACTTATATGTGGAATCCAAAACAAAAAACCAACTCATAGAAACAAAGGAAAGACTTGTCGCCAGAGGCAAGGGATGAGGAATGGTTGAAATGGGTGGAGTAGTGCAAAATTAAAGCATCAAGTTATAAATTGAGTCCTGGGGATGTAATGTACAGCATGGTGACTATAGTTAATAATACTGAATTGTATATTTGAAACTTGCTAAGAGAGTAGATCTTAACAGTTCCAATCGCCAGAAAAAAAGTGTAACTATGTGTGGTAATGGATATTAACTGATTTATTATGGTAATACTTTAACAATATGTACATATATCGAACCGTTATGTTGTGCACCTAAAATTAATATAATTTTATGTCACTTACATCTCAATTTTTAAATCTGAAAAAAAAAGCTAATGAAAGATGGTGAATTACAGTAGTTTTATTTCTATGGCACTTTTCAAAATGTTCTATACATTATGTTGTTTTGCCAGTTTTATTCAACATGCAAATGCAATTTATAGGCAATAGATCATCAAAACCTAAATGAAAAAGTCTTAAATTATGTTGAAAAATTTGAACTTTTAACTCAATATTAATTATATATAATTATCCCAATTGTGCATCAGAGTAGTTTGAATTAATGAGGTTTTGCTCTATTGTAGCTACAATAGACCTGACAATTTTTCATTTTTTAATATTTTTTAAAAATTTATTTTTGACAAAGACAGAGTGCATGAGCAGGGGAGGGGCAGAGAGAGAAACAGAAGCACAGAATCTGAAGCAGGCTCCAGGCTCTGAGCTGTCAGCACAGAGCCCAATACGGGGCTCAAACTCATGAACCATGAGATCATGACCTGAGCTGAAGTTGGCTGCTTAACCGACTGAGCCACCCAGGTGCCTCTAGGACTTGAGCTGGTTTAAAGGAATATGGTTTCTTATTCAAATATTCCCAGTCCCTTCTATGAAGTATTCTTGTCCCCCCCCCCCCCCCGCCCAATGACCCTGTATCCAACCTAGCCTTTAAATCAAAATTCTACTTTACTGAAAATTTAGAAGTTTGGAGGAAAAAGTACGAGGAGGCCAATAGAAAATGCAGATTTGGATACCTAATTTGACATCTCAATTCTACAACAGTTGGAGAAATGAAAAATGATGGTGATGGTGTGTGTTGGGGAGGGTAGTTTTAGAATAAATGAACTTCAGATGAGATGATCAAATATGGTTAATCCGTTTGGATATTGATTGGAATAAACTAGTTGTAAAAAGTATTTTTCAAAAAAAAAGTATTTTTCAATAAACAGGAACTCATACTGGGATACAAATTAGGTAATACTAAGAATTGTTAATTTTGTCCCATAAGGTAATGATTTTGTGGATATATAATATCATTATTTTTTAAGTGATATAGGTAGTATTTGGAAGGAAATAACAATATCAAGAAGTAGCTATACAATATTTCAGAAAATGGTAATGAAGCCAGTGTGGCAAAAAAAATTTTAAGCGTGGAACTTAAGGTATATGCATTTGGTGTTTCATGTTACTATTCTCAATACTTTGGCATTATTGTTTCATTAAAAAAATTTTTTTTCTGCCCAGAAGTAAAGTGGTAAGTACTACTTCCTATGGTTTCACTGGTCATGGTTACCTGCATTCCATCTCCTACCTCAACCTACCTCCCCTCCTGAATAAAAGAAATACTCAGCAAATATATAATATTGAAGACCAACACAGGAGTAGTCAAAAGGAAGCCTGAGTTTGCACTAAAAAATTTAAAGGAAAGGGGCGCCTGGATGGCTCAGTCGGTTGTTTCCAACTTCAGCTCAGGTCATAATCTTGCAGTTCCTGAATTTGAGCCCCATATTGGGCTCTGCACTGACAGTGTGGAGCCTGCTTGAGATTCTCTGTCTCCCTCTCTCTGTGCCTGTCCCGCTCTCTCTCTCTCAAAAGAAATAAACCTGAAAAAAAAAATTTTAAAGGAAAGAGCCATTTTCCCTATTACAATCTTTTCTCCAACTCCTTGCCAGTGCAGTTCCTTTCATTTGTCAGAAATAACATTGCTGTTTCTGTTTTATGGCCCGATTTGTGCTTGGAACTTCTTATGGATTCTTGGCGTCTTGAAATAAATACTTTGTGCCAGATAGATGAATACAGGCACAGGTAAAGAGGCGATCAAGTCAAACCAAGTCTGGCATCCCATCTTCCTTAAGTCTGATGTACAATGCGGCCCAGACCAAGTCCCTTTTAAAATCTTGTCTTTCTGCTAAAAAACATGTTAATTTTCTTTTCATACGGAAAGCTTTGCTTGTTTTTTTCCCCCAGGTACTAGTGCTTTCTTGACCAAAAAAAAAAATTTTTTTTTTTTGCAAATATAAAAAAGCCAAACGCTAATAGCGCTGGAGAAGTGACTCAGGTAATATTTAATTAACCAAAAGAAATAGGGTAGGGAGGAAGCATGATCCCGCAGAGGATTCTGGGAGGTGTTGTCGGAAGCACTTCCACTCCAGGCAAGTGGGGCTGTAGCCCTAGACCGCTTTGGCATTCTGGGAAGTGTAGTCCAGAAGTTCCGGGCCGTGGACAACACTTCCTCTTCAGCAGTGCGGGTGGTGAGTCTCACATGTGGTTCTGGGTTCTGGGAAGTGAGTCACAGGAACTTCCGCTCCAGGGGAGGTTGCGGCCATTATTCCCCAGATGGTGGTGAGACTTGAGTTCTGGCAGCGACTCTAGGCCTCCTTAGCCTAGGCGAGGGACCAGTGGTGTCCTAGCCCTATGTGTTAAGGGCGAAAAGTGATGGTGGATGGAGGACAAGGGGTAGAGGCATTTGCATTTCCCTCTGGCTGGGCAGAGCCCTGGCGTTTGGGGGCGGATCGCGAGTCCCAGCTTGGAGGTGGGCTAGGGTCGCTCATCCGGGATTGACATTTTTCTAGGTACTGAGCACCCCCAGCCCTCTCTTTGACTCCACACTCAGCATTACCGCTTCCCGCAGCCCTTTCCCTTGACTCGCCAATCAGCCTTGCCGCTTCCTAGCGCCATCACATTGGACAAGTTGCTCTCCGTGAATGAGTTTCCGAGGTGTAATTATAGTACTTATCCAATGAGCTTGTGAGAGTTAAATGGGGTTAATACTTCTAAAACGCTGGAGAACGGTGTTGACACACACAAAAGGTTGCTTCTGGTTACGGGTGTGCGGGGCTCTAGCCAAAGTAAATATAACAATGAGCAAGTCTGTATGAAAATTTTAGATTTCCCTGCGTGAAAAAAGGCACCATACATACATGTGTAGAAGATGTACGGTAAACTGAGCTGAAAATGTCAACAACATATATGCTAGAAAGTGGCTTAATAATCTTAGAGATTCATAAGGTAATGAAACCCCAATAGAAATAATGGATATGAATACAAAAATGTGAATAGACAAATTTTAGGAAGAAGGAATAGATATAGCAAGTAAAGATATGAAAATATTATTCGTAAATAAACATTCTTAATGTTGTTTTCCACTGATTATGTCACTCAAGGTTTTTTTTTTTATTTTTATTTTTGACGTTTATTTATTTTTGAGACAGAGAGAGACAGAGCATAAACGGGGGAGGGTCAGAGAGAGAGGGAGACACAGAATCTGAAACAGGCTCCAGGCTCTGAGCTGTCAGCACAGAGCCCGTCGTGCGGCTGGAACTCACGGACTGCGAGATCGTGACCTGAGCCAAAGTCAGCTGCTTAACCGACTGAGCCACCCAGGCGCCCCTCACTCAAGGTTTTTAAAAATTGGTGACACCTAATATTAATCATGGTATGGAGAATCAGGGATACTTATACTTTCTTGGGAGAAGGGAAACATAGGAAAAACTTTTGGTAAGAAAATATGTTACTTCACTATCAAAAATTTTAAATGTATATACTTTGGTGTTTCAGTTTTCATTTTTTGAAATTCATCCAAGAGAAGCAATTGGACAAGTAGGCTAAGATCTAGGAAAGAGAAGTTCTTTGCAGCATTCTTAATAGGAAAGAATCTGAAGTTCATTGTGCATTACTTGGAGTGTGAATGTGTGTGTATGTGTGTGTGTGTGTGTGCATTACCTATATTTTAATTATTAATTCCATGGACTACCATGAGCCATGGAATGGAATAAAATTGATGATGAAAATAATAAAAGCTAACATTTACTAAGCACACAGTAGGTTCCAGACCCTGTTTTGAATTCTTATCATGTATCTTTTTTGAAGATTCCTTCTGTAACTATGATATAGGGACCATTTACAGATGAGGAGATTGAATATTGAATGGTGAAGGAATTTGAGCAAGCTAATAAGCTAATAAGCTAATAATATATACAAACTTAGGATTCTAATGAGGCTGTCTGGTTCCAGAGACCATGCTCTTAATCTTGAAGCAGAGTAGATGAATGTGCCATGTACCTTGAGAACACAGAGAACAAACTTCATGACTGTCCTTAAAGAATGACTGATGGCCTGTTGCAATAAAAAAGGTATATTATCCAGAGTTAGCATGTGCAATACAGGAGTGACAATTACCAAACACTTTTGGGATGAAATTAATAAGAACTTTTATGGGGCATTTGGCAGTATCAGTCAAAATGCATTTGTGGTGTTAATTTGCATTTTCCTGATGACAAATGATGTTGAACGGTTTTTATGTACTCATTGGCAATTTATGTATCTTCCATTTTTAAGTATCTTTAGAGTTTTTTGCCCTTTTTGTTGTTGGATTTCTTATTACTGAGTTGTAGTTCAAGTATTATGAGTACAAGTCCTTTATCATATCTATGTATTTAAACATTTCCGTGTGTGTGTGTGTGTGTGTGTGTGTGTGTGTGTGTGTGTGCCTTTTTTTTTCTTACATTCTTAAGGATTTCTTTTGGAGGGAAGAATATTTTAATTTTGAAGAAATCCAATATATCAATATTTTAATTTATGGCTCATGCTTTTTGTATGTTACCTAAGAATCTTGGCCCATCCTAACATCACAAAATTTTCTCCTGTGTTTTCCTCTAGAAGTTATGTAATTTCAGCTTTTTAAGTTTGAGTCTATGATATATTTTGAGTTAATTTTTGTATATAGCTTGCACTAAGGATCAAGTTTCTTCTTTTGTTCCCACATGGATATCCAGCTGTTCAAATTCCTTTTGCTGAAGACTATCCTTTCCCAATTGAATTACCTTAGCACATTTGCAGAAAAACCTTAGTTGACATACATACATGGACTGTTTTACTCCTTTGGCCTACATCTATCCTTTGTCAATTCCACATTCTCATGATTATTGTAGTTTAATAGTAAATCTGGAGATCAATCATATAAGTATCCCAAGTTGGTTCTTTTTAAGATTGTGGATTTTATTTTTTTAAGATTGTGAATTTTATTTTATTTTATTTTTTTTATCACCATAACAAACTGCATTTTATTTTATTTTTTTTATTTATTTTTGTTTTAAGATTGTGAATTTTAGAATTAGCTTGTTAATTTTTATGAAAAAGCCTATTAGGACTTTGATTGGGATTGCATTGAACGTGTAGATCATTTTTGGGAGTATGAGTATCCTACCACTGTTGAGTATTCAAAACCATGACCATAAATTTGTTTTATCACCTCTCTCTCTGCTTTAATGTAATTTTCATGTGAGGAGGAAGTTTGTGTCTTGTTTATTACTGTATCTCTGGTGACTAGGACAGGCCTGGCACATGGAAGTGTTCAGCCAATGATTGTTGAGTGTGAATAAAGTAGTGGATAGGCATCCCTTAGACTTTGAGATTATGAATAAGCCAATGTGATTAATAGATATTCTACCAGTGTCGGCAAACTATGGTCCTGTTTTTTGTAAATAAATTTCTGTTGTTGTAACATAGCCACACCCATCTGTTTACATATTATCTGTTGTTGTAACACAGCCACACCCATCTGTTTACATATTATTTTTGCACGGTGGTGGCAGAACAGAGTAGTTTTATATAGTCTTCAAGTCTGAAATACTATCTGGCCCTTTCAGAAAACCGTTTTGATGTATGTTGTAGAATTGTGGTAGGGTTTTTTTTTTTTTTTTTTTATCTTCTGATGAATGCCTATCTGTAAATAATTTGTCTGGTGTTTTTTCTGGATTCCTGAGGGGTAACTTCTAAATTCTTGGATTTTCCCAACTGATAGGAGTATCTTGTTACTCAGGATGAGCCAGTTGGATCACACCTGAGTTTATTCTAATGAGATGAATCAGGATGGGGGCTGGTCACCAGAAAAACTAACCATAAGACGGTTGGGGTTTAGAAGCAGGTGATACCAGCCCCATCACATGGCTAATGATTTGATGAGTCATGCCCACAAAATGAAACTCCAATAAAAACTCTAGACACTGGGGCTCAAATGAGCTTCTTGGAAAATGAATATTTTAATACACCTAGGGAGGCTGTATAAGAACTACAGAAAGAACCAATCTATCAGTGCCATTGCTGACCTTGTGTCTTATACCTTCTTTTTACCTCAGCTTTTATTTTTCATTACCGCATTCCACCTTAGTGTAGCTTTGCCTGATAGCCTTTAACTCTAGAAGAACTGACATGAAATTTTTCCTTTTATGAATACATTACTTGAAAAGATCTTTTTTTACTTCTGTGACTTAGTCCAAGTTCTCACAGAAAAATTAAATGGACACATTTATTTAACACCTCATTACAAAGCACCTGCTATCTGACAAGTACTTTTCTGGGAAAAGGGAATATGAGTACTTGTACTTGGGAATATTTCATTTCAGTTGGAAAAGACCTATGAAAACAAAAATGTAGGGGTGCCTGGGTGACTCAGTCAGTTAAGCATTCAACTTTGGCTCAGGTCATGATCTCATGGCTCATGGGTTTGAGCCCCGTGTCAGGCTCTGTGCTGACGGCTCAGAGACCAGGAGCCTGTTTTGGATTCTGTGCCCCTCCCCCACTCATGCTCTATCTCAAAATAAATAAAGATGAAAAACATATGTATATATACATGCATATGTATATATGTACATATAGTAAGTCAGGTAGTAATAAAGCCTATGTAGAAAAACTAATCAGGGTAAGGGGATGAAGATTGCCAGGGTTGAGGGTGGGTTGGAAGAGATTTGCTAAATTATATTGAGTGGTATGCTGTCACTGATGAGGTGACATTTGAGCAGAGCCCTGAGAGATGTGAAAAATTAAGGTAAAACTACCTGGGAGGAGAATTTTTAAAGGCAGAATATACCTCTCCCTTCTCACGAGTAGCTTAAAGAATTTGCCTTATGTCTTTTTTTCCCTTTCCCCAAACTCTGTGTCTCTTTTAAAAGGTTAGTTTCTATGCCCTTCACAAAAATTAACTGAAGATGGATCACTGACCTAAATGAACTACACTGACACATCATAATCACCTAAAGTCCATAATTTACAATAGAGTTTACTCTTGGTATTATTCATGCTATGCGTTTTTGGACAAATGTATTTTGAATGTACGTGTATATGAAAATAGGCTCCAGATCATTGTGATCAGAAAAATGAAAATTAAAACAATGAAATGCTACTACACACCTATTAGAATGGCCAAAATCTACAACAAGGACAACACCAGATGCTAGGGAGGATATAGAGCAACAGCAACTCTCATTCATTGCTGGGGGGAATGCAAAACCATACAGCTACCTTGGAAGACAGCTTGGTAGTTTCTTACAAAATCAAATATACTTTTACCAAATGATCTAGCAGTTGTGTTCCTTGATATTTACGCAAATGGGTTGAACTTATATCCACATAAAAACCTGCACACAGATGGTTGTAGCAGTTTTATTCATAATAGCCAAAGCTTGGAAGCAACCAAGATGTTTTTTAGTAGGTAAATGGATAAATAAACTGTGATGCATCTAGATGATGGGGTATGATTCAGCAATAAAAAGAAATGAGCTGTAAAGTCATGAAAATACATAGAGGAAACTTAAATGCTAAGGAAACTTAAAAACTAAGTGAAAGAAGCCAAGCTGAAAAGGCTACAGTATACTATGATTCTAATTGTACATTCTGGAAAAGGCCTAACCATGGACACAGTAGTAAGTTCTGCGGTTGCCAGGGGTCGGTGAGGGGAGGGATGAATTGGCAGAACACAGAGGATTTAGGGCAGTGAAAATACTCTGTGTGATACTGTAATGATAGATACATGTTTTTATACATTTGTCCAAACCTATAGAATATGCAGCACCAAGGGTAAACCCTATTGTAAACTATGGCCTTTGGGTGATTATGTGTCAGTGTAGGCTCATCAGTTGTTACAAATGTACCACTTTGGTGTGGAATGTTGATAATGACAGAGGCTGTGCACATGTTGGGATGGGGGTATGTGAGAAATGCCTATATGTTCCTTAATTTTGCTGTTCTAAATAATAAAATCTTTTAATAAAAACACATGAATGAGGAGCACTCATCTGTAAGCATGGGAGGTTCCATGCTTATCTCTAACCCAAAATTCCCAGATTCATCTATTCAGGGCCCTAGAGGAGAAGAATAGATAATTTTTTTCTGGCTTAAACCATATTTCACAACTTGTAGTTCAACACATTGACTGCACAACCTGTGGTCTCCAAGCTGATACTAGAGTGGAATCTACAACAGGCCTTTTCAGCTTTCTTTAAGATCCCTGTGTCTGAATGACGGGGAGACTGGGAAAATCCGTGGATCTCATTAGGGTTCACTGAACACAGTTTTCTTTTCTCAAGTTTATTAAGAAGCAGTACAATAGATTTGCATATGAATAAAAAATGCAAGGACAACCCAAGTATGAGTTATTAGATGGACTGCCTGGCAGCAGTCAGTAGTCTATATATTGTATAATTGGAGTAAGCACAGTGGACTGATAAGACAAATTCAAATCCAGACAGTTAATTGTCCTATTTAGAAAGAAAACCTTTGCCTAACAGAAACAGACCCCTGGTGCCACAACATCATCAGTCCACTTAACCCACCCCCAGCCCTTGGCAACCATAGATCCAATTTTTTTCCCTATAGTTTTTTTTTTCTTTTGCAGTATGCCATATAAGTATAATCATAAAATGTATATTTTTGTCTTAATTCTTACACTTAGCATAATACTTGTGAAATTCATCCTTATTGCATAAATCTAGTAATTTCTTCTAGTTTATTTCTTTTTAATGTTGACTAGTACTGTGGATATACCACAGTTTTTTTGTTTTTTGTTTTTTTAAAGTTATCGATGAGATTTTGATTAGGAAAAACGAGAAGATAATCTTTTGTTTTAAATTCCCCTGGTGACAAATTATGTAGAGTATCTGTTCATATGCTTATTTTCCATCTGAATAACTTCTTTGGTGAGGTGTCAAAGTCTTTGACCTATTTTTAAATTGGATTGTTTGTTTTCTTGTTGAGTGTTGAGTGTTCTTTGTGCATTTTGGATAAAGGTCCTTTATCTGTCTTTTGCAAATATTTTCTCCCAGTCTGTGGCTTATCTTCCCACTGTCTTGAGATTGTCTTTCACAAAGCAGGAGCTTTTAATTTTAACGAAGTCCAGTTTATCAACTATTTCTTTAATGTTG